GAACAGAGCGGGAGGCCGGAGAGGCAGGTTGGGGGGGGGGGCTCTGACAGCTGTCAAAGCCTACGCTCCTCTGCCCTCCTCCTGGCAGTGCTGTCGAGTCTTCCCTGAGCTCAGCTAGCCTGTGTTCATGCACCGCTGTGGCCTGGGAGACACGCACCAGCCACCAGGGGTCAGAACATTTTATCTATTCATCTGCTCTTTCCCCACCTCTATTAATTCAATTATGAAGGCCTTTTTTCAAAAGTCCCTCTGGTGAGTTAAAGGATAATGCCACGGAACATTTCCACCACACTGCATGTCAGCTTCGGCCATGAAATATTCCCAAACTAGAAAGTGGTTTTAGTTCTCAAGGCTGAATACATTTGCTACTCAACACCTTTACTTGCACAAGTCTTGTGCCTTCAAACTGCTGCTGTCAATCAATAATTAGCATGACGGTTTGGTATGAATTGCAGAACAACGCAGTCCATTACAAAACAACCTATCAGAAGAGTTTCTCTGCAGCTGAAGAGAGCAAAACTAATAACACATTGTCATTTCTAATGCTTCAACCACTGTGAGGTTTGTTTGTTTTTTAGAAACTTTACGGATTTGTCATAATATGCATTTATAAATGTCAAATGTATTTTTGTAGGCCAACCTGGAAGTTAGCATCACCCTGGTTCCCAGTTGGATCTTTCCATTGGGTTTTGGTTTATTGCAGAAAATCTTCCCAAATGAACTCAAATTTTATGTATTTTGAAACCAAAGGGCCAGATTTACTAAACAGGGCAAATTAGCATTAGAGCGCAATTCCATAAAAGCGCCGATGCGAGGCGTAAATTCTGCGGGTGATTTACTAACAATGCACACATTAAAGAACACAGACGCAGCCAGATAATTTCCATAATGACCAGCATAATCTACCAAGAGCAGCACAAATTACTGATATGCATTTATTTTTACCTTACTTGCTCAACAACTCCCAAATGATTTGCTCAACGATTCATTTTCTAAACCCCTCCTTTGCGTGACGCTAATCTGCGGTGATTGGTCCGATTGGTCTCATTTTCATTTCATCATGCCTGTAATGCCTGATAAAGCAGCATTTGTGAGTGCAGTGCTGCTTTGTGTACAGCCATTACCATGGAAACAGCTATTTTTACCGCTTCAAAAGGGCACCTAGTCGCAAAGAATGAATTTGCATTTTCTTTCAGACTAACGTGAAAAGACCAACAAGTGGGCGGGCAATATGCTAATGTTTCATGTTGACGTCAACATGAAACAGCTTGGGATTCGTTTTAAAAACGACTCATTTCAATGATTCAGAGTCGACTCTTTCTTTTGAGAGACAATAACTTTACACACAGTGCACTTTCAGATTTAAAGAGGTGGTTGATTGCGATTTCACTTTTTTAATGTTAGTGTGTAATGTTGCTGTTTGAGCATAAAAAATATCTGCAAAGTTACGAAGCTGAAAGTTCAATGCAAACGGAGATATCGTCTTTTAAAATTCTGGCAGTTTAATGCCTACAAAAACAGCTGGTAGGGACTACAACGAGTTACTTCCTGGGTTTGTGACATCACAAACCCAGATAAACCCTGCCCTCGGGAAAAGACAGCAAAGGAGGCGAGGCCATGCTGTGCTGCTTTAGAGAAGAGGAAGAAAAAACTAGGGGTGCACGTAAAAATCTATTCATATATGAATCGCGATTCTGTCTTCTAACGATTCTAATGGATTCACAAGTTTCAAAATCAATGTTCTAAAGCAGCGGTTCTTAATACTGTTCCTCGCATCCCCCTGCTCTGCACACGCTCTGCATCTCTCTCTCTCTCTCTCTCTCTCTCATTCAGCTCAGCTCCAACAATGTACTGTTCCAATTATACACTTATTTTCACATAGCTATGAGAAGCGTTATACATGGATGTGCGTGCAGTTGCCGTACTGTATTAAAGCTTTAATCAGGATAAAACCGTATATTAAAAGCTAACATAAGCAGTAGCATTTACAAATAACAGCATATCTAAAAGTATGAGACAACAACAAACAAAAAACATAGGCCTACCATTAAAAGCCGTGCTTGCACAGGTTCTGCACGATCCTCTTCAATAATATCCTCTGCTTCTCAATCGGGCTCAAACTGATAAGCGATATTAAGGATGCCGTTGTTTACAATACAACCGGAGCACATGCGCTGAGGTGAGGGGCGGGATATTTAGATGCGCACTAGAGGCAGTTTAGCCAATCACAACACACTGGGCTAGCTAACCAATCAGAGCCCATTGCCTATTTCTGAGGGCGGGTCTTCATAAAAACAGGAAAAGATCAGCCTGTTTCTCAGAGAAGGGACAGAGCGGTGTGGAATAAAGGTAAATTATGTGAAAAATAATGTGTTTTTAAAAAAACTAAGCATTAACACGTTAGACTGCACCCCACAAACACAATCAAGCCTAGAAAAAACCAGTGAACCACCCCTTTAAAACTTTGCAGGATGTTTTCATTCACTTAGAGCTGTGTTACACACTGCATGAAAGGTAATTTTCAAAAATCCATAATAGGGGCACTTTAAGACATGGTTTTTTTGAGCAACAATGGTGCAAATACCAGTAATTTGATGAGCACAAATATTAGATCATGTTGTGTGATTCATTTTAATACTCTACTCCCATAAATTTTGTCTCTGAAAGGGAAACTCTTACAAATGCATATTCAATAAGGTCAGGCGCAAAAATAATTGTCCACGCCTTTTCAGCACTAATTCTTCACAGTGCGTTTTTAGTAAATCCTGACAGTAGTATTTTAATGCCAAAAGACGGTTTCGCTTGCGCAAGCTGTTAGTAAATCTGCCCCTAAATCTCCAGAAGTCAAAATCTGAAGTTAGAATTGAAGTGAAAAGTAAAGGCTATATTTGAGCTACACCATGTCGTGACTTGAATGTCACAAAATCACCACTGCTAATCTTTCAAAAACTTTAAAATCTTAAAATCTACAAGTTGAAATAGAAATCAAGCGGCCAACAAAATACAATTTATCTTGTGACGTTCAGTTAGAACAAAAACTCTGGAAGTGATACTTTTATGCTTATTTCTCATGTTCAGACAGGCAGCAAAAGGTAATTTTTTGGTGTAGCTGACTCAAATGCAAATTTGACTGCCATTACAGGAATAAATTACATTTTAAAATATATTAAAATAATTAAATCAAATAAATGCAGTCTGGTGAGCAGAAGAGACTTCTTTCAGATATATATACTGTATATATAAGAAACTTACAGACCCCAAACTTTTGAATGGCAGTCTATGTGGTTTAAAATCTCATTATATAAGTAGGGATTTGACACATATGTAACCTCTTAGTGCACAATATTGTGTCTGAATGCACTCAGTTCACCTCAGTCTTGCCTATGTAATATTCACTACGTAGTAAATAGTAACTGAGTAAATGAGTCAGCGGTTTTGGACACATGAATACGTAACATTCCTCTGTCATTTATTTTCTCATGCTACTCATGATTCAGCACCACCTCGAGATGTCATAAACATAAGCAGACTCAATATCTCCAGTTTTCCTCACTGACAGCTAACCTCAGATCTCATGGAGATGCTTACGTCATTTCTCTAGCTGCTGATGAAGCTACACCTGATATTGACTATACTGTCTGAACAAACTGATATGATTTCATCACTTGCAAAATGTCAGTACAATCGAGCGCATTTGAAAACCAAATTGGATTTAGTGTGAAATGGTCAACAATAATATTTTTCCACTTACTCTTATATGTTATTCTTGTGATGGTGTCTCTGTTCAACATCCGATTCAGAAATGAATTCGAAGTCTCGGATATCTGAAATGGGACAGATGTCAAGGGAGGAACGGCAGAACAGTGAAAAACAGATGAGAAGGACAGAGTGATAGACAGAAGAGGGGAAAAGGGGGAGAAAGAGGGTCGAGGGGAAAGTAAAAAGAAGCAGATTATTAGTGACAACTTTATTTCTAAAAGACAGACAAACATGACTGAGGAAAAAAAAACCTAATCAACATCTTGGGAAGTAAATCTCCCAGTCATTTAGTTTCTAATGTAAAAAAACTGTGGCGTTAGCGTCACGTCTCTTGAAATTTACTTGATCCATTAAGGAGCTGAAACTGTTTTTACTGCACTCAAATGCATCAGGATGAACCTGAACAGTGTTCTGTAATTAAATGACACCTGATAGAATCACTTATGACACACTGACGTGTTTGCCAAGAAAAGTTCTTCAAAAATTGTGGCTGCTTTTAGCAAGTAAAAGAGCATGAATGTAGACAACGAGATAGTTACAGTGCTTTTCTTTGACTCCACTTTACTTGCTAATTTGAAACGCTTTCAGTCTGAACGATTAAAAGAAATGTGCCTTGTGACTACACCACAAATCACTTCTCTTTTGACCTCATTCAGCGAACAGCGAAGTCTGAGGCTTAAAAGTCTTCGTCGCATCATTTCGAGACTTTCTGTTATAGAACCTGTGGCTATGGCTAGCCATTATCTCTACCAAGAAATAATTAGGCTTGACTACACAGTGCATGAAAAAAAGAATAGCTTTTACTTTCCCTTGCAATCAATATACTAAGAATAACAACTTTGCTATTCATACAAGTAGCTGTTTATATCACAAACAAAATGGCTGGCTTCTCTCCAGCCTCCTCCATTTTATGCTTGTCCTTCTATTGATAGTGCTTTTTTTTTTGAGATCCTTTGTGTTCATACTATTTAGACTCAGATGGGAGTCCCTCCCAGAGGTGTGGCGCCATAACTGGGAACACAGCATGGGGTTCCTCAGAAAATGGCTTTGGGTGACTCATATTACAGAGAAGAAAAGCGCAGGAAAATAGCAGTGAAGTCACAATGTTCTCATTGGGATCAATGACAGGGGCGGGCAGTGACTGTAGTAAAGTATAACTGAATAACATCAAACACATCAGTTAGAAATTAACCTGAAAATAGAATAATATGGAGACTTAAAATTGGTCTCTTAAGAGAAATGGCTCAAATCATACAGAAAATGCTTTAAATTTGTTTCAAATTTTGTCAAACATATCCTAATAAAAATACCACAGTAACCATAATTTCTGCCAAAATACCATAGTTAAAAACATTTCATAATACTAAAAATATAGATAGAATAAACAGAATTATACTTAAATATATATAAACGATAACATATATTTATATTATGTATATTTATTAGGGCTGTCAACGGTAACGCGTTAACGCATGTGATTAATTTTACAATCCTTAACGCGTTAAAATTATTTAACGCAGTTAACGCAAAATTACTGTTGCTTCTCTGCTTGCGATCAGATCATTTTAAGCTGCTAAACTCCGGGAAAGTTTTCAGTTCAATGATCCAGTAAGCGAATGCATTCAAACAATCGGTCCAAAACAGCGCTAATATAAAGGAAACCAGGCTGATTACATCAGAGATTGCAGAGAGAACAGAGACTCCCGTTGCGTTTTCAGTGAATTATTCATTCCAGTGTGTTTCGCTTTTAAACACGAGATCTGTCATATTCTGTGATTGTCTCTGAAGAGCGCGAGCCCTCACACGTTGTGCTGTGTGAAGTACAGACTGGATGAATTGTCAACACAACACATGCAAACTGTTTTCTCGACTGGATAACCAGTCTCGCTAGTAAAGTTTTGATGGATGAAGACTGCAATCAAGGTAAAGACGAGACGATTGCGGTGGCGTACAGGAGTCGTACAGTAAGCACGCGTGAGTCC